TCAGCTGCATGTTCTGGGGCTGAAGTAGTCTCTCTCCCTTCCTCCCTGCCTCTCTGTCCCCTCCCTCCCTCAGACACTGCCCCCCTCCCCGGGGGGGGGGGGCGGCGGGGGGGGGGTCCTATGTATCCCAGGCTGTAGCTTTATCTACAGGTCATCTGCATCTGATGCGGTGATCCAAGTGAGGTCAGAGGGAAGCCATAGCTCTGCCTGACCCCCTAGACTCCGCTTTTTCATAGTCTACAGATTCTCATGTTTTCAGTTTTCTTTCCCATTCTCATGTTTTTTCTACATCAGAGTCTACTCACACTGGTTAATTCTCAGAATCAGAGTACATATACACAGATATATAACACAGCCTTGTCTCAGTCAATGATGAGACATTATACATGGTAATGGTCCCCAAGATTACATCACTAAGTGATGGGCCGCCATCTTAGTCTGTGCGAGCACACACTGTGATGTTCACCTAATGACAGAATTCTCTGGTGACAACGCTTTCAGGACATTTCTCCACCAGTCAGGGCTCAGGACTGGAGTCATGAAGCTTGATTTTTTCATCCTGAAACATTTAGAGTCCAGGCTTCCTGCTTAGCTTCACAAACAGAGTTAGCTGTTTTATAACAACCTTAGTTATTTATTTTCCTATGTCCAGGGTTTTGAATCCAAGCAAACATCATGTGTTACCCATGAAAGGCCTTAGCAATGTTACGCCCTCCTTCAGCCAGCTCATTGGAAATAGCTGTGAATTCCTCTTCCTTCCTCTTCCCAAACACCCAGAACCACGTTTTCTCTGAGGCTTCCGTGAGAAGAATAGCTTCACACACTGACTGCCCTGTGTTTAAGGAGAGGAAAGAAATGTGTTCTGGCTGCATGTGGCCTGTTCTTTCTCTTACCCCAGTGATGCCCTTCCTAATTACTTCTGGTTTCCAACTAATAAATGTCTCTGATATATCAGTCTGAAACAAGATATACGATTGCTATTCTAACAGCTTTCTCAGCTTCTTCCTGAATAAGCAGGATGGGCATTATTGTTGGATATAAGAAAACTGGGGGATTGATTCAGTGCCTGTGGATATGAAAGCAAGAGCCAAGGAAAAGATCCCATGAAAGAAAAAGATGAGTGAATGTGAAAAGAAAAATAACAAAGCTCTTTTTCCATAGCATTTCTTTCTCATTCTTTCTGCCTTCGAGTTTCCGCCATTTAGTTTCTAGTTGTCCTGACAGTCAGGTCCCAGACACTAAGATGAGCTCGGTCTGATGACCCTCGACTGCCAGCCTTGTGGTTGGAGTGACAGACTCCTCTCTAGTGTGCCTGAGTCACGTGACACCATCTCCTCACAGCTGACAGGTGAGGAATGGGTAAAGACTAAAGTCTGTGGGTGAAATCACAGATCAGGTTGCTCTCTCAAAGCACGGGTCTTTCTTTCTTTCGGTACATTCTGACTCTATAACCTAGTCAGTTACTAATTTACTAGACATATCACTTATCTGTAACACGTTGTTGAATAGGAATAATGGGTTGTTAGGCAACTGGTAAGAGAAAACAAAGGAACAAAACCTCTTTTCAAGTTTCAGTTCACTAAGAAGTTTCCATGGGTCTACCAGGCATTTGTTTTCAATCATACTTTCCAAGTCTTGAACTCTTGGTGGAAGGGACTGTAGTATTAAGGTGCTTCTCTCTCGGCTCCTTTTTTAGTTGGAATTAAATTATATCACCAGTAAACAAGTTTACTCTGCGTACCTATGATGCCTAATCTTGACCGTGGACTTGATTGTCCAGAGAAGTCCCCTGGAGATTAATAAGGCACACCTCTGTGCACATCTGTCAGGAGGAATCCAGAGAGGATTAAGTGAAGGGAGAAGACCCAGCCTGAGTGTGTGGCTTCTTAGCGGATGAGAGGAAAGGGTTGAGGGCTGACGACAGAGAAGAAGAAAGCCTGTGAGCACAGGTTCTCCCCCTTCTCCCCCACTTCTCTCCTTCTCCCCCCTTCTCCCCCCCCCTTCTTTGCCTTCTCTCCTCCCCATCCTCCTCTTTGCCTCCACAGTGAGCTGTTGTGTGTGTCTCCCGCACCCTTCTCAAATGAACTGCCAAGAGGGGAAAAATAAAACCTTAAGATTTACGAAGAAAAAAATATATGCATGGATAATCTCACATGCAAACCGAACTGTTGAAAATAGGCAGAACATTTGCGTCGAGCACAAGCTGATCACCTGAATGTGGCCATGTCCCACTCGGTCAGTTCCCTCTTAGGTGGGAGTTGCTGGTCCACTTTTCGGTTCTCTTGTGGTTTGTTAAGGTGTTCTGTCCTAGCATCAGGTACTTACCCATTCCCTCACACAGAAGGTCAGATCTAGGCTGGTGCATACAAATGGGCGTAAGAAAGAAATCCTCCGAGGCCCCTGAATCCTGGGACCCCAGGGTAGCTGCTGAACAGCCCCTATGGGCTTTACGTACTATGAAGGCATGTCGGGCTCAGGGTTTGCATGTGTTAGTTACAGACCTGGTGACCGTGTCTTGTGGGACAGTAGAGGCGCTGAGTGACGTCATGTGACTAATCATTGTGAAAAGACGTCACAGCTGGAGAGAATGTGACTTGGGAAGGTGTTGGTGACAGGCAGACAGCAGTGACATGGATGGAGTTGTGGTGTGCTCTGAGCAGAGGTGACCCGTTAGAACACCCAGTCAGAATATCTGGAGAGTTAGGCCCAGGATGATTCACAAACAAACGAAACGAACAGACAAAACAACCCCACAGGAAATCGAAAGACATAGCAGTGTCTTTATTACTACAATAAAAGTAAGTGTCTTGGAACATTTGCGTGTTGAGTGCTCCGTGGGCAGGTGGAGAGACAATATGCGCTTATTGAATGCCTACTTGATGGCATGAAAGACTATGCTAGGAACCAGGCAGAAGCCGAGTCCTTAATGACAGTTAAAGCTAGGCTGCCTTCCTCCCATCCTCACCTGAGCCTCTTTGCAAGGCTACCCGTTCCTCAGATAGACAAGAACAAGGGATGAAGGGACAAGCAAAAGATGATGATGGAAGATAGTATCTTGGGATGCTTTCAGTTACACCTGGTCTTCCTCCGCTTCCAAAAAAGAGGCAGACTGGCATTTTGTTTCCTCTAACGCCATGTGCCTGACTGAAAGCAATTTATGGATCCTTCCCGGACTCAGTCCCAGAACACAGAAGCTGCCATTAAAGTGGTCTAAATGACGGATCTGTGGCCTTGTGGGGACCTCCAGAAGAGTTCCAGATCAAATCAGCTGTCCTTCAGGGGCTGGCTGTAGCTCACTCCTGTTTAGAACAATTTGAGCCTTCCATCATTAGGGCCGGAGGGCCTGTTGGTGGAGGAGGTTGAGTCTAAAACTTGAGAGCTGCACTCTTGTTGTCTCGGATCAAAAAACGAAGTGGCTGAGAGGAGAAATCGACCCATTGTGGTCGCACACTCAGAGCATCTGTGTGCCCTCTGGGTTCTTGGATTCTTTCCCTCCCTTCAGAGCAAATGTATGGCACTCACTCAGCAAACTGCGCTTTGATAGTTCTTAACTGGGATCTCCAACTGTGTCATGCCGGAGGATGAGAAAAACTGGTGAAAATCTTGAGTTGACACCTGAGATCTGTGCTATTGGGCTCTGTGGTGAGATTGCTGAGGCACAGAGTCATTGAGACAGCTGTTGTAATCCCCTCAATGGAAGGGGAACCGCCTTCCAAGATGTTGAGGAAATTCCCTACATTTACAAACACAGTTATGTAGGGCATCATCAGGAGAGAGAGTGGCAGGTGGAAAGGCAGGGTGGGAAGGAATAGAGGCAGGCAACATGTAAGTCTCAGTCAACATGTAAGTCGAGGAACAGATAACGTGGGAAGGATGGAGAAGAAGGTTCAGTGGTTGATCTGTCCTAAGTTATTCACCTGAGGTTCAGTCATAAATTCTCTGAAGTTTGGGCCAGTTCTCTATGTCAGTTCTCTACACACTGGAGATGGTTTTAGAAGCCCAGTGGGCGGAAGCAGTCTTTGGCGGGAACTGGCTAAAGGCTATGGACAGATCAAGCAACCAGGGGACCAAGCATTCTGTACTGCTGGTATTTCAACAATATGATAGGATCCAGTCTGGACTGAGCCATTTCCTTTCCTAGCCTTTTACTATGGTATGCTCCGTGGGCAAGGGTCATGGTTCAGGAAATGCACCATCTGTGTGCTCGCTCCTCCGCCTGATAATGGTCTGTGTATCTTGCTCCTTACCAGAAAGTCTTTGAGAAAGTGGGAGTGGCAGCAAAGCTCCTGCAATAGTCATAGGACTTTCATCCCAGTGTTTTCTTACTTTACACCCTCACTGTTTTGAAGACAGGGTCTCACTAGGTAGCCATGACTGGCTGGTCTAGAACATGCTGTGTAGACCAAGCTGGCCTCAAACTCACAGAGATCTGCCTCCCTTTGCCTCCAGAGGCTGAGAGTAGAGTCACTTTTCTTCTACTGTTAATAGTAAAAGTGTATTTAAATAGTTGGATTTCTTTTAAAATAATAATTGCGTTTATTCGAGGAGAATTTAAGACAGTGTATCTTGACCATATTCAGCCTCCTCTCCCAACTCCTCCCAGATCCTCCACCATCTCCCTACCACCCAATCCCCCCTCCCCATGGTTTTCTTATATGCTTGTACCATCTATATTCATTGGGTGATCTTCGGCCATTGACCAGAATTAATTTGTAGGAGGCCATTGCTTTGCACTAGGCTTCGGCAGTGGTTCCCATCAGGCCAAACAGATATGGAGCCCTTGTTGTGGGGTGTTCACCAGAGAAGAGTACTCAGACACGGGTTTAGGCCAATAGCAAGTCTTTATTTGCTGGCTGGGCACTACACTGAGTGTTTGGAATCCCAGTGTAGTACCAAGCCTTTCTCGGGGTGAGTTTTTAAGTACCCCCCCCCCCTATACAAAGACCAAATTCTGTTGACATACTTTAGTTAACAAGAACAATTAGCTGAAAGTGGAACTATAGAAGACAAAAAGCAGGGTTAGTAAATTTAGAGACTTTCCCAGAACTATAGACTTTGATGCATTAGTCTTTGTTTTAGTTTTGGCAGGTGGTGCTGTCTATGTGCTAAGTTGGATGACCCGAATGGTACTTCCATCATGGAGTCAGTTGTGCTAAGGTCTGAAGGTCTACCTTAGTCTGGGGCCCTGTTATAGTCATTGTGTGAAGGAAGCTAGCCAACTTGGGAGTAGATGCTTGTACCACACAGCCAAGTGCAGGTTACAGCTGCTGACCTTCTGTCTTCATGGGCAGGCCCCTGACTCAGCTAGGGTAGGGGTTCACCTCTGTGCTCCACTTCTGTTTAATGCATCCAACTCTGGCCCTGCTGCACTGTCAGCCATCTGTGAGCTTGTTTCTGCGCTGAGGGGTGCTGAGTTCTAGAATCATCCATGAAAGCCAATTAAGATCTTGAAGTTGGTTGTAACCTGTCTTTTGACTGTGCCACGTGAGTGATGACATTTAGATGAGCAGGTTTAATCATTTCAGGAGGCTGAAAGTTACCCAGACACTGGGTGCCTGTGGCACCTTTACACCTGACAGAAGAAAATGAACATTGGAACCATGTTCTCCAGGAGCGACCTTGGTTCCATTTACCCCGGCTCTGCAGAGCACCCGGAAGGGGAAAGCACAGTGCATCCAGTAAAGACCTGGGAAATGCCACAGTTTGTACTTCTAGAAAGGGTGTTCATCTGAAGGCACAATTGTGAGAAGATACACATAAGCCGTATTACCACCCAGGATCCCATACTTCACTGCGTAAGCTTACATTTTTCTTTGATAATGGGAAAAGGTGAGAAATGGCTTTTCCAAGGATGACTGGGTTGCATTGTGATTTTTGAAAATTATGCTTTGATTGTTCTCACAATATGCTCTGTGCCTATCTCTTCAAAACTGCTGGAGCCTGGAAAGTACATGCTTTGATAATGCTCAGGGGAAGGGCAGACTGGGTCCAGCTTCTGACGGAGAGGGTGAAAAGCACAGAAAAGACTGTGTGACTCGAGACACTTCAAATGAAATATACCTCTTACTGTATATTTGCTGTATATGTGCTGTGCAGATGTCTGAGGTACCAGATTCAGCATTTGAAAAATGCTTCATTTTCTCTTCCCAGGCCCTAGAGCTTTATCCCTCTGAATTATTAGTGTCACTCACAATCTTATCAGAACATCTATATTGGCTCTCTGTAGAGATCAGTTTTTCAAAATAATCACCCTCTTTACCACAAGACAGCAGATAACTCATTGCGTGGATAGAGCCCTGCAGCTAGGAAGGAAACACTCTCCTCTGGGCCACCATAGCACTCGGTACCAGGAGCCTTTGGCCTGTGGTTTTCTATTGGTAAACAGTGATCCAGCTGCTGACACTTCAATGCGTTATTCTGGGGAATTGATGTCTTCCTTAAGTTATTATTCACCTAAGCAATAGCTATTTACCAAACACTTAGGAAATGGAAACTCCTTGGTATATGATGGTAAGAATGGTCGCATACACAGGCAGGGTGTGTCTGACTCACAGAAGCCTATGATAGAACAGCAAAGGAAGACATCAAACAAGGAAATGAAAAATTCCCTAAGGGCATTATGACCAGAGGAGAATCTGACACCAGGGGACATAGCAGCAGCACACACCTTGTGTTGGCTGGGAAGGGAAGCCAGAGAAGCTCCCCCAGGACAAACTGGGAGGAAACCAAGGCAGGAGTAGCTGAAGAGAAGAAGAAGCCCCGAGGCGGGGGTGGGGGGTGGGGGGCGGGTTGCAGAGGCAGGGGAATGTCTGCCTAACTCTCCCAAGGAGCTGTGAGAGATACACCAAAGAGATGGGGCTCCTTCCTGGTGAAGTAACACCGCTGATAAGAAATACCAGGATTGCTTTTTTCACAAGGCTGACATTAGAAAGATTATTAAGGTTGGACCATAACAATTTTTGAGAGTGGAGAACACAATTTACTTTGAGGGCTTAAGAAGTCATTAGGGCTTTTGAGGCAAGAGAATTAAAAGGTCTAGATGACTTTTCACAGTGTCATTCTGGCAGTTGAATAGAGAGAGAGTCAAGGGGAAAGGGACTTCCCAGTTGTCTAGAAAGATTTAAAAAATGGCTTAAGTGATAATAATGAATTAATCTATTACATTTATAGCCTTGGAAGTAAGTTTTTTCATGGACTATTTGTTTGGCAGGTTTTGGATAAAAGTAGTAGGAAATGTATTACTGAGTTTGTAAGTTTTCAAAACATAGAAAAGGGTCATGTGGGAGGGACCGTGGAGTGCGGTAATTCGGCTTCTCTCATTTTGCTTTGTGGACAAATAGATCGTTTAATCATCTCTCTACTGGTCCATCGATTTTTGACACATCTCAAAGGAAAAACACCCTTCAGTACTCACACAGTTCTCTGGGAATCCATGGTTTTTAGAACCCATTTTCCCCTTTTGTAATATGTATCTGAAATATATCCATTTAAATATGCCATTTGATGGGCTTGACAAATGACAGGCTTGTGTACACCCCACACTGTCTTGGTCCTCCCGCTTTGGGCCTCCAATGACACATCCTGGTATTCTCAGTATTACCTTACAGGTTTCCAGTCTGTCCTCTCTCTTTTCTCCGGCTTGGATGATCTGCAGGTAACAATTCACTTTCCTGTACCTTTGGTGTTCTGCTGCTGTCTATTTTCACGAATTTTTCTGAAATCTCAGTTTTACATTTTTCAATTCTAGAATTTCTTTTAACTTTTTGTTATAGTTTTCCTTTCTGTCAGATTTTCTTTCATTTTTATGATGAATTATTTTCTTGTAATATTGTGCAAAATTAAATAGTCTCTTTAAAATCCTTATCTGCTAATTTCAAGAGCTGGATTGGGAGTCTCCCTTTATTTCCTTTTGGGTTGATAATGTTCATATTCTTCTATCTCACTGTACATACAGTGGTTCTGGATTGTATCTTGGATATATGGATAATATTTTATGTAGGTTGTTGTTTGTTTTTGGTTTTTTGGGGGCCTGCCACCCAGTTCCCAAATAAATTCACACACAGAGCCTTATTCTTACTTATGACTGCCTGGCCCTAGCTTGGCTTAGTTTCTTGCCAGCTTTCCTTATTTTAAATTATCCCATCTACCTTTTGCCTCTGGGCTTTTCCCATTCTCTTACTTCAGTAAATCTTACTCTTACTCTGTGGCTGGCTGTGTAGCTGGCTCCTGGAGTCCTCTTCCTTCTCTGGCTACTTCTTTCTTCTGTATCTTCTCTCTGCCTGCCTGTTGCTTGAATTTTCTCCAGCCCCGCCCAGGCCGGCAGCCACTTAGACTCAAATAAACACACAGATGCTTATGTTATTTAAACCATTTGGCCTAATGGCTCAGGCTTCTTGCTATCTAGTTTTTATATCTTAAATTAACCCATTTCTATTAATCTATAAGTTGCCATGTGGCTCGTGGCTTACCCGTATCTTAACATCTGCTTCTCATGGAGGCTGGCAGCATCTCCTGACTCAGCTTTCCACCTCCCAGAATTCTCCTCTCTCCTTATCCCGCCTATACTATACTTCCTGCCTGGCTACTGGCCAATCAGTGTTTTATTTATCAATCAATCAGAGGAACACATTCACAGCATCCCCAGCACCTGCCAGCCCTGCCTATCCTTTCTCCTGCTTTGCTATTGGCTGTTCAGCTCTTTATTAGACCAATCAGGTGTTTTAGACAGGCACAGTAACACGGCTTTACAGAGTTAAACAAATGCAGCATAAACAAAAGTAACACACCTTAAAATAATATTCTACAACAGTAGATTCTGGATTCTTTTACCTTCTTCAGAAGAGTGCTATTTTATCAGCTGAATTTATGAATGATGAAGACTGGACTAAAATGTCTTGTTGATTTTACTATGATTTTATAGTAATTCATTTCTTTCCCATGGTGGAAGATGGAAACAGTGGAGAGATTCTGATATCATTTCAGCTTTTAACAGAGCCTTTTTTTTTTTTTTTTTTGGACTGCTTGAAATCTTCAGGAGTCAGCTAAAGATTTGGGCAGAACTTATCCACTGAGATTTCGGTTCTGCTCTTTTGGCTGTCATATTCCCTGGACGCCTCCCTTCACTCTCCAGGGATGTGGCTCCAACAAACTGTCTTCTGGCTCTTTCAGTCCCTCAGTAAGTGTGAATGTCCTCACTGAGTTCTAACTGTATAGAATTACACAAAATGGTAGAATGCGTTTCAGGTTCAAAGGCTGACAAGTGAGAAGCACTCCTTGTTAACATTCTCAAAGTGTCAGCTCACTCCACTCTCTGTCTGCTTTCTGGCTATTCCATAGCGCCTTCAGAAAACAGTTTTTATTTTGCTCAGAATTTAATACTGTTACCTGAAGCTAGTCCAAAAAGAGCCACCTAGTTAAACCTAAAAATTTCAACTTCTGTTCTCAGACGTGTATACGTATCAGCTCATTCATTTTCACAACCCAATCAGTATCTTAATCCACTCTGGTAGTTAGTTTTCTCTTGCTTCAATAAGACACCATGACCAAGGCAACTTACAGAAGGCAGGGTTTATTTGGAGCCTGTGGTTCCAGAGAGGTAAGAGTCCATTGCCCTCATGGCATGGATGCTGGCAGCAGGCAGGCAGACGTGGTGCTGGAGCAATAGCTGAGAGCACACATCTCATCTACAAACAGGAAGCAGAGAGAGCTAACTGGGGATGTCATGTAGCTTTTGAAACCTCAAAACCTACCCCCAGTAACACACTTCCTCTTGCAAAGCCACACCTCATAATCCTTCCCACACAGTACCCCCAGCAAAGTATTCAAATGCCCAAGACTATAAGGGGCGTCTTCACACCACCACAGTTATACTGTTGTATACACAAGGAAACTGATGCTTAGAGAAATTAAGTCACTTTCAGATCATATTGCTAGTTGAATACAGAAACTCAAGAGACAGATCTGCAAGCATTTCTTAAAAGTGAGAGGTTGGTGGTTGGCACAGAAACAAGTGGACAGACCTGAAAACCATCAGTTTTGTGGTTGGACTGTCCAGTGTCCCTTGTAGGCTCATGAGTCTGAACACTTGGTCCCCTGGTGGCATTGTTTGGGGAGGCTGTGGGACTTGGGGCAGAACCTTGCTGGGGGGAAGTGGATGTCGAGGGATGGGCTTTGAGGTTTTATAGTCTCCCCCACTTCTGGTTCGCTCCTTGCTTTCTGTTTAGGCAATGTAATCAGCCAGCCTCCTGCTGCCATGCCGTCCCCACCGCAATGGACTGTGTCTCTTCAAACCGTAAGTCAAAACACGTCTTCCCTTTAATTGTTCCTTGTTAGGTATTGTGTCCCATGAAGGAGAAAAGAAACTAATGCCAAGAAGAGATTGGAATTTTTCTGAAACGGGGAGAGACTGAGTCTGAGAGAGTGACGGAAAGAAAGAATCTAAATATGAATTCCATGTTGGCCAACAAGATCCATGGCGACCTAAGTTCTGGATGTAATAAAAACTGGAAAAAACAAACAAACAAACAAACAAACAAACAAACAAGATTTTGTTGTTATTTAGAAGGAGTGGGTGAAACAGTATTATAGACCTCTTAAGTCTGAGCGTCCTCTACACATTTTAGTCGAGTTTGCCAGAATACAAACTTGGAGCTTGGGGTGGGCTGGTTCATGCTGGAAGCGCAACTTGCGCATCCTCAGCATATGGATGCCCTTTAACGCTGTTGGGCTTCACGAGATAACGAAGGCAGAAATACAGACCGAGAACAGATGGCGGCTTTTCTGGACATTTCGCTTAAAAGGTAGCAGAAGAATTTGGCAAGAGAACCCAAGGAGGAGCAGCCAGTGATTCTAAAGGAAAACCAGGAGAGCACAGTGTCACGAAAGCCAAGAGAAGAGAAAATGTTGAGAAGAAGGAGGTGGTAATGTGTGAAACTGCTGGGAGGCTGAGAAGGACAGGACCGGGTCCAGAGAAGTCACCAGGGGAGAATGACAGCTGGAATGCAGATGGGAGTAGCTTGAGAAGTCAGTGTTTGAATGAGGGCGTGGAAGGAGCAGAGCCTGAATCTTTATTAATAATGTTTGTTGTGAATTGAGAGCAGGGGAAAGAGGAATTTTTTTATGTAAATAGAAATGATATAGTAGGGGGAGATACTTATCAGCCTTAATCATTAACCCAAGGCAGTCAATTCGGCTTCTACATGTTTGAACCAAATGGAATTTGTCGTTGTGCACCTGACCCAGTTCACTTAGTATAATGTCCTTCAGTTTATCCCTGATCCTGATCTCAGAGAGGTGGAGAGCAGAGTGCTGGATACCAGGACTTGGGAAGAGGGTGGAGGCAGGGGAAGATGGACAGAGGGTTGTTTGTGGTATAAGGGTACAGCCAGACAGGAGTGATAACCTCTACTATCCAGCAGCACAGTAGGATAATGATGGCTGATAACAATTGATGACCTATTCAGCATGACAAGCACAGGAGAACATTGGAATACTCCTAACATAAAGAGATGATAAATGTCTGAGAGCAGGGCCAGCTACCCTGATCTGATTGTACACATTGTACAACATCTATTGCAATGTCACACTGCAGCCCATAAATGTACTCAATTACCGTGTGCCAATTGAAAATAAAAATATATTTTAAGATAGCTGCCTTGGTCAATTTGTTGAATTGTTTTGAAATAGCAAATGATGTATTCAAAACTGCTCCTTAGAGAACAAGCTGTGCTTGAATTGTTTTAGGCATATGCTTTTTCTGAAGTTATAGTCCTTAGGAAGTATATTTGTCTGACACAACGATTCCTGATGGCCGAGAGCCACACTGTCTCTGACTCCTTGTAAGTGGTGTCACGTAAGACTTGATGTTTAGTGAGTGCTTTCTCCAAAGTGACTTCCTCTGGAGCTTCAGGGAGTTGTCTCAGTCCTCTAGACTTCACTTGCCTCGTTTTTGAAAATTGATGGCACATGATGAAATATTTGCTGTCAGAGAGGTTCAAGCATAGTACTAAATGGAAACCAGGTTTTTGTTGTTATGCTGGGTTTTGTTTCTTTTTAAATAACATATTGATGGCAGGAGAGGTGGCTCAGGAGTTGAGAGGGCATGGTGCTCTTGTAGAAGACCAGCGTTCTGGTCATCCACACCCTCTGACTCACAACAGTCTGTATCTCCAGCTCTGGGGGTCTGATACCCTCTTCTAGCCTCTGCATGCACTGTACTCAGGTGCACAGACTTATACACACACACGGTAGAGGATAATGACAGCCGAGAGCAGTAGATTCGATGTTCAAAATAGCCAGTAGAGGGGAACTTTAGGGGCATGGACATAGCTCAGTGGTAGACTCCATGCTAAACATGTGCATGGTCCCAGGTTCAAGACCAACACTGTTTCAAGAAAGACCAAGGAGACAAGCAAACCTCAGCACATAATATAGAATTTCACGGTTGCAAAAATGATAGACAAGTATTCAGAGACTTCATTCAATCATTTATCATATATTATTTAATGACTGAAATTATTTGAAATCAAATATCAAGGTTTAATGTGAAATAATAAAACCTAAAACACGATCACGCAAAGCCATGTGAAACCAGGTAAGGCTATTTTCAACTCTAAAGAACAAATCTGATAATTTGCAAGAGGATAGATATCAAAGCAAGATGGCCCACATAGCAGGTGTTTGATTTGCATCTGGGCCCGGACCTGTAACGAACCATGTTAATGCATTTGTTCCTAGTGCTCTGGGGTGAAGCAAAAAGTCAGACTGCATCCAGCTGCCTTCCTGTGCTCTCCTGAAAGTCCTCACTTTCTCTCTCTCTCTCTCTCTCTCTCTCTCTCTCTCTCTCTCTCTCTCTCTCTCTCTCTTTAATATCCCCACTTTCTATCCTCCACAGAATCTCCCTGTTCTTCTCCATGACCACCACCAACAGCTCAGTTTCCCGACACATTCCCACAAATGGCTTCTTGGGGCTCTGTTTCTGACTAGTTTCATTAGTCAAAACCCCATTCCTTCCCCTGATTCTCATCTTGGTCCACAGAGTCCCGAGTCTTGGCTCAGTGTCAGCTGCTGCTGGCTGCCCGGCTCCGCATTACCAACGCCACTCTTCTGGATGGATGGCTTTGTCCCTCTGGACCCGCAGTGGCCGCTGGTTGTAATGTGTCCTGGCACCCTTGTTAGTACCTGCCACTTGGAACACTGCACCTTGGCGTGTCTCAGTGCTCTGGTATTCTTTGAGATTGTCCCTTATGGGCTTTATAAGAAACTGGCAACTGTGTTTACTCCATGGCTGGGAAGAAAGTTTTTAAAATCACAGTTTAAAAAAAAAAAACTCATAATTTAAATAGTCTTTTTTCCCCCTCTCTTTTAAATGTCATGTGAAGGTGAAGGGGTGGTAGACCATTTCTGTTTGTTGTGTGTTAAACACAGGCCCGCCCCTTCTCCTTTGCCCTGGTTAGTGCAGTCCTGCCTACCTTCAAGGTCCTTCTTGAGTCGGAACCACCCAGCAGCCTTCCTTATCAGCCTGACCTTGGGGATTTGTCCTTTTCTGTGCCCCGATAACACACAAGGTCTGCTGGAGTTCTTCAAACATGGCCTGCCCTTCCTATCTGAGTTTTGTCTTTCAGACTGTGGCCTTTCTTCTTCCACTCATCTGCTCAAAGGGAAGCCTTTTCAGTCCCAAGGCCCAGAGTCTTGGCTCCAGGACTGTTTAGCTGTTTCAGGTCACTTGTCATCAGGATGCCGTAGACTTCACCTAATTTACATTCCGACACTGAACAGTGAAGTAGTCAATTATTTATTTAAACCCCGTTCTTAGAAGCGCTTCAGGGTGTTATGAAAATGCTGGGTCTTGCCATGCAATTTCTGGAAAAGTTCCCCTTCAGACGCAATAAGGGAGTTTAGGTTGGAAAAAGGAATTGGCCTGAGCTGGTTGCATGTCTGGAGGAGTGCTCCCGGCAAGAGCAACAGCATGTGGGTGGACGCTGAGCGAGCAAGAAGCATGGGGTGTAGTATCGGGACTGAAAGATGGAATGCATGCAGCTGGAACACAATGGCCGATGAGCACAGAGCTCCAAAGAGCAGGGCCTAGCTTCGGTGCTGGCCATTTTCCTATGGTCACGTGCCTGTATTCCAGAGAGCGGGATCCATACATGCTAATCATTCAGAGAACACGGATAAAGGGATTGATTGGTTTAGGCACCAAAATAAAGTAGTTTGGGGGTCAGTGATATATCAAAGATCACTCAGGAAAGGAGACGCTGCCTTAGGCATTAGACCGCCAGGATTTAGTGTGAGGAGCTGCTAGATCAGGCACCGGGGAAATGAAAAGCTGAAGAGGGGCTGTGGACAGTAACAAGGGGGCGCTATTAAAAGCTGCTGCCTCTCCGGACCAGAATCTTAAACTTTGTGTTCCACGTCTCTCTTATCTAGTCCTTCACAAGCCCCTATTTTTAGGATTCCAGCAGGTGCTATGTCTGAGGAGCTCTAAAATGCTGGGAAGCTTCCCCAGCCAGTGCTGTATTTCTAACAGAATGCATTCAGATTACTGGGAGAATTCTGGAAATGAAACAAGAGGCCGAAACCAACCGCCTACCCCGGGATGGAGGACCATGGCCAAGGCAAACACAGAACAGGTGAAAAGAGGAAAATCTACCTCTGAGTCTCCCTCTAGCGGCCACTGTTGGTAGTAACTAACAGGATGCTGCCGGAGTGCCACCCCAAGCAGCACATTAGGAAGCATAGAAGGGTGTGTGAAAACTTTCATTTTTATGAGTTTTCAGAAAAGATTGGCAGGATGGGGAGAACAGAAAAGGACAGGGAGGGCATTGAAAAGGGGCGACAGGGACAGAGAGAAAAGGCTGTCCTCAGATCTCTAAGTGCTCTGAGACCATTCAAAACACAGACACACACACACACACACACACACACACACACACACACGTAACCAATTGTCTTATTAAATAAGAAACACAGAACCAATGCAAAGAAGAAAGCCAAGAGATCAGAGCTAAGAGCCTTACCCGTCTGCTGCAGCTAGCCTCTTCAGCCAAGAGAGAGCTACTTCCTGTGTGTTTGTCTTTATATAGACTTTCTGTTCTGCCTTCTCATTGGTTATAAACCCAACCACATGACTGCCTCGTCACTGCCTGTCTGTACAGACCTCCAGGTCTTCTATGGTTGGTATTGAGATTAAAGGCACGTGTCTCCAATGCTGGCTGTATCCTTGACCACACAGAGATCTACCTAGCTCTGCCTACCAAGTGCTGAGATTAAAGGCGTGCACCATGAATGCCC